AATAGAATGTACCGAGAATGAATTATGTCAAGATGGGAAATGTTTGATAGTAAACAATACTTTCTGTATAACACATTTTGATTGTGGTCCAACATTCAAATGCTTTCAGAACAAATGCATATCATTCAGGGATCCAATCTCATGCAATTGTGACCCTGGTGAAGTTTGTCGACAGGGTCACTGCGTCTCAGATCCAAATATGTTTTTATCGTACTTAGGCTATAATACTGGTTGAATCAAAAGTAAATTATGATTAAAAACTTTTTTTGAAATTTGCGTAGTAAATTGCATTACAATTCAATCTGTCATAATATTGTGCAATGAAAAAGGATTATATTATGAAATTGAAAAAGAAAAAATTAATCTTAAAGATAATGAAAGATGCAATTCTAATTTTTGTTGTTTTTTTAATTTGAATTTGAATTTGCAAAAAGTAATTCGATTTTTTTTTTAGGTTGTACACATGTAAGCTGTGAAATGGGTTCGTTTTGCTTCAAGGGTACATGTCAAACAGCTGTCGGTCAAGATTGCACTTCTACGCCATGCCAAGGAAGTACGATCATTTAACTGCTTGTTCAATCATACATATACGCAAAAATTCGGTTGAAAGTATTATTTCTCAATTTAAAATTTCAGTCCTTATATTAATTAAAAAGATAATTATCAATTGATGAATGGTGTGCAGGGAGAGAGTAACAATATATTTCGTTATTACTCAAACTAGAAAAAGTGTAAGATGAATTCTGAAATAATATGAATGATAGAACTCTCAGAAAACATATAATACCACAAAATGAATATAAAATTTGTAAAATGATGATATTGATGTCAGCTGTGTTTCTTAAAATTATTTTCTATATTTTTATTCAAGATGTAAACTTAGAGTACCTAAAGTGTATGTGAAATATATGCTATTATTAGTACATATATATTACTTCTGAAGTTAAGGTTTTTATTGTAGGTACAATTTGTGTAGAAGGACGATGTATTTTGAATCCTTGCATCAATCGTTGTCCACCGGATCATGCTTGTCGAGAGGGTCAATGTAGACATCTTGAAGGATTGCTGTGTTATGAAGAATGTCCTAAACCATATGTTTGCATTGATGGGCGTTGTACAAGAAATGGTAGTGATAATATTCGATATTGAAAATTATGCTAACGATGATCTAATTTTGCAATGAATATAGAGATTTAAATTGAAATAAAAAAAAATTGTGAATTATTAGTGTTTTAGAATGTTTCGGGAAAAGTTGTCAACCTGGTGAGATATGTCAATTTGGTCTTTGCATTAAAGTGGAAGGACGATTGTGTAGTTTGGCGATACGTGATTGTGCTGAAGAATTTGAATGTATCGGAGGTATTTGTCATGATCTTTTAGTAGCAGAAGATAATATTACTTTATCATAACTGTGATTTCAGTTTGTTGATATGTTAAAATGATCTAATTTTGCGGTGAATATAGAGGTTTAAATTGATTATTAATAGTAATAATATGCATTTTTAAGCTTAAATTGAAATTATTGAATTTTCACCTTTTAGGATTCAAATTTTATACAATAAACAGGGAATGCCTAATAATGTTTAGTAATGCGCAAAAAATATCATTGCAAAGAATCTTTGATTATTGCCCAACAATACTCAGTTGTTATTCGATAGACCTGAGAATTCATTTGAGGCTCTGATTAGTATTTCTCTAAAATTCTTCCAAATTATGGAATCATGAGGTCCATCTGTGAAGATAGCAGCAGCACTGCTGACCAAGTTAGTGGTAATCTTGCAAACGAACATCCATTAGTGGTCACTTTCACGCGGTTGATTTGTGACGCTTCTGAAATATTCATAAGTAAATCAATGTGAAATACGCTCCGCATGTAAGCATATTTAATATAGCAAACGTTAGTAATAAAATTTTAGGTAATCTGATCCTTCAATATTAATCACTGATAACTTTTGTTTAACGATGCTTGCTTTCCAAATGTGATTAAATTAATTTTCCAGATAATTTGTAGATTTGTTATAATCTTTGTTGAACTTTGTTATACCTTCAATTTCAAAGAAAGAATTTAGCAGGAACGATACACTTTCAAATCTCGTGTTACTTTCTTTATCAGCAATCACGTGATTCTTTCTCTTTTGCAAATCTTTACTATCATTCATTTAATTCAAAATTAACAATGAATGACCGATGTAATATGAACGATATGAAATTTGTTGTGAACAGCATATTTTATCTTATTTCAAACTAACTTTTATTTGATCAAAGACATACGTTCTGTAATAAATTGATAATGAGCATAGAAGCCAGTAGCATCAAAGATATCATTTGAGCGAAACAACATCCGGAAATAATTTGATTCACTAACAATTGAATCTCTTGGACAAATCTGTCCGCAGTAGCGACGATTGGTACGATCTTGAGTTTGATAGTTGCTAAATAGTACATAATCACTATGCGTACTATCATCGCACCTGTAAAAATGCATGAATATTCGAGAAGAACTGTTATCTTCATTTCGAAAAAAAAAAATATTATGGAAGTTAGCAATAGCAAAAAGAGATGATCGAAAACTTACGTGGATAATCCTTCCACATCAAAATATTCAAAATGTATAGCAACGACCTGTTTCTCAGTTCCATGAAATATGTAATGGCAATCAATATTGCGAGGATAATATCCTGGATGATTGGGAGAGAAAATATCACCTGAGCTGCGCCGAGATGAATTAAACTCATAATGGCAAGCTGAAATGGAAACATTTCAACAAAAATTCAACATCACATCCAATTTAATTAATTTCATGATTTCAAATTACAAATTATTAAATGTATCAGTGGGATTGATTGTTCCGATCATCTGTAATTTGGCTAATACTATCATTTTTAACTGTATTATGACAACCTTGATGTGGCAATCGGTAGCTCAAGAAACGATATTCAACTATTAAGCGGTTCTCTGAACTGTCAACATGATAATTTTTACTTTGTGCTGAATACCTCACGTCTTAGCATTATTTCATTATCTCTCTTATATGAAATGTTCAGATTGAACACAGAATATATAATCTGACAGTATGAAATATGGAACAAACAAAAGTAAATGAAAAACTGACAAATGTATATGAGAGAAATATGAAAGGGAATGAGGAAAAAGGAATTTAATAATGGAAATAAAACTTACTCAAATCATTTCTTACTTCGGCATTCATTTCTGATAGACCCAGATCAGTTCGAAAAAGATACTTTAATACAAATCCAAATTTTTCCGCATTGGTCATCATTTGTCTCATTGCTCGAGTAGATCGAACAACATAATCCAAAGTTAATAGATTTTTGGTAGACATCAATCGAGGAGGTATTTCACTACCACAGAAATCTTCGATTCGAGACATGCGGGTACCAATTAATACATGAGCTGATAAATGATCCATTTCATCGCATCTTCAAACTATCATTCGATAAATATCAGCTCAAGTGATATCGCAAAAGTATGACATCAATATGAATCTATCAATATTCTTTCAAATATATTCCTTTCTAATTTTACTCAATGATATAAAATGATAAATAAATCGATATTATTTAAAATTTCGGTGTACAACTGCAAGTGGAAAAACTATAATTCATTTATATATTTCTTAATTAATTCCAATCTTATTGAAGGAATCGAAAAACAGAAATAATATACCAATATTCTCACCTATTGGTAATATTATTCAAATTGGGCATTCGTGCGTATAAATTGAAATAGAGGAAGGTAATTTGAACTCTTTCAATACCACTACCCATAAATACAAATTGACATTTGAACGGATCATCACTATCCACGTACTGTGTTGAATTGAGAATACCTGAGATACTGCTCGACAAAGGTGAATCGTTAACAACTACTGAAGGTGAAGTGATTTTCACTGGACAATGTTTTCCTGAAATAAACTGAATATTCTATGATAAAATGCATCTGATACATTTTAACTCATAATAAATTTAAAAGGATAAATTAAATGAAAAAATGAAAATAATTTTAAAAGAATTACTAATGAACTTACCATTACTCATCGTGAATAATGTAAGGAAAAGGGCAGTGTGAATCTTACAATCTACTTTCATCCTTTAACTCACCAAAATAACTCTTATGAAGCTTGAAAACATGCTTGGAAGAATGAGCTTTAAATGGAAGGAGAGAGAGAGAGAGAGAGAGAGAGAGGAAAGAAATCAATGAATTTTAAGGAGAAGAAGCATTAATGAAAACTACTCACTTAAACCAATTTCATTACTTTGAACATCGATGATAGCTGAGGAAAACATAGAAGGATGAGAGGAAGATAAGGAAAATGATGAGTAAGCGAAGTGTGGAATATTATCATTAACCGACCGACTGTTGCTTCCATCTGGTATATTCTTTTGTGACAAATATTTGAATGAAATATGAAAACCACGAGCCTGAAAAGAGTTCTTTTTTTTAATTGAATCTTAAATAATATATATTACAACTTGCAATATAAAAAAAGAATTCATATATGAGTTATTTAGAAAGTAAAAGATTGAAATTTAATTAAAAAAGATATATATATAGAGAGAGGGAGAGAGAAAGAGAGAACGAGGGAGAGCTTCTGATGAAAATATGATTAAACAATTTTTGTTTAGTCTATTCACTCAGGCTTTTTATATTGCATGGAGTAAGTGAAGTAAATTTGAATGAGAACAAAAATGAATTTCATCTGTTAAATGGTTAAATTTAATAATTCAGCATAACAAAGCATTTTATAAGCCTTTAGAGAAGCTTTTTTTTCATTTGTTAGAGAAAGTATTTCTTCTTCCTCTTCCAAAAACCGAAATGTGTCACTCTTTTAAATTTTGTCAATATTCTTTAATCTTCATTGTTTTTATTACTATCATCAGACTAATGTTTATCACATCTCCCATATAATTAATTCTATTTGCTTTATTTTCTTCTTTTTTAATAAATTAGTTACATTGAAAAAAAGATCTTATATAATGATGATGCTAAGATAACTTCGAATCCTATAATCTATAAAAAAAGATCCTATAATGCTAAGATAAGAATCTAACGATTATTTCAGTAATTTAATAAAGCATACGGTTAGAAGATAAAAAGCACTAATTTAAATTTATTCAGTAATCATTTGAATACTATTATTGAATGTATAACTAAATAACAACTAAACAGGCATATTTCCAATTATTCCATATTTATGGCTTTATCGAATCATTTCAGTATCAGTTAAATGAACCAAAATTCCCTCTCTCTCTCTCTCTCTCTCTTTCTAAACGAATAACGTAACTAATTTTTTTTCCTAATCATATGCACTGTTAATCACCATTCTGTCTGGCAACAAATCCCTTTGCATGATTTTATTACCAGAAACTCTTATCAGTTTTATCACTCTTCCCAGCAAATTCCTCAATCAATTCTATCTTTTAATCAATTTTTTTTCTATCATAAATTCTTATCAACAAATTTTTGAAATCTACTTTAGAAATTTCCAAATATTCTTATATAATTACTCTTTTTCTTATTATTTTTCGATTCATTGCTCCATCAAATAATATCTTTAACGTAATACAAGTAAATATTGCAAAATAAAATTCCAAGAATAATAATACCTTTTTTTTGATCAAAGATAAATACTCATAAATTTAACTAAATTTCAAGAAGTATGATCAATTATTAACTTTTCCCAATAAAATGACGACATGAACGAAAAAGTGATTGTTCCAGAAAACTCTCGAAGATATGCATAATTGACTCACTTTTACTACGTCGTTGTCACCACCGTGAAATTCAATGATATATCCACGCCTTGTTTGAATTTGATATGGTGGCATTGAATCATAGCAGAGTTTTTCAAGATGAATCTTAATATTTCTGGCATTAATTTTCTCATAGAATTTGATATGTTTTGAAATGTTAAAATTTACATAAAATAATAAGCAAAAAATAAGCATGCCTCTTTCTCTCTTTCTCTCTCTCTTTTTGTTTCATTTTTTTTCAAAACTTCTTCTATCTTTTCTTCTAAACTGATTTCAATTATTATATATTTTTATATCAAATATGCGTCAGGAAAAATTTCATTTCATAAAAATTGCTTGAAAATTTATGAAAGAAATAAAAGATAGCATAGTCTTACCTTTGGATGCATCTGATAGATGTCGATGAAGTCTTCATGGCAAGCATAACGTCTTAAATTTAGATATTCCAAGGAAATGATCAGGTTGAACTCTCGATGAGGTGCCAAATAGTAAGTACAATTGGCGGTGGTAGGATAAAAATATGGATAGTTAGGTGAGAATAAATTACCAGCTAAAGTGTCAACACGAAAATGACATGGTTCTATTTCAATGGCATCCGAAAGGAATCGTTCTGAAAGTTCCATTAAAGGTCAACACCAGTGAATTAATCAGCAAAAACTAATAATGATTGCTTCAAAACTATTTTTTTTCACTCAACTTTTTTTTCTGACTGCAAGATTAATGAGTAAAAAGAATTGATATAAACAATGATAACCTTTAGGGACAAAATTGTAAGTACCATGAAAACCTTTAGAGGTTGCAGATAATTGCACATGAAATATGAAATATTTCGTATAGGAGTAGAATGTTTGTCCAACTTCAATCTTAAAAAAATGTTACTGATATGAGGTTATCATGTTAATGAAACATTATATGATAGGTATAATAATGTATGTTCAAGAAATATTATTACCTCTTTGGCACAGAATTCACCGCTATAAGCGGTCCGCTCATTGATTAATCCATTCGATGAATTATCAAATAGCCTTAAATAATCATTACATCTAAATTGCTGCTATGCAAAAATGAGTTCTTTTACTAATCACTCACCGGTCAATTCGTGATGAAAGATGAAAGTAATCAAAGGTCACTTCAATAATGTATCCATTAGGAGCTATAAATTTATACAGGAAACATAAAAATGGAAACAGCGATGATTGAGGCAGTATTGATGATAATGGAGCTTTTGGAAAATCCGGTGATTGAAAGATACCAGTAGAATTAAATTGGACACAACGGCAACTAGCCATTGAGGTGTTCGTTAGATGTATCAAAAATGACAGATACAGATATGATAACAAAAGAATACGATAAATTGCAAGTGTACCGCACGATAGAATGCATGTAGAAGCAATACTGACCAAATAATGACCATAAACTTGTATCATTTGGTACAATTATTTCAATTCTCAAAGGGCTGCAAGATAGATAACAATGAAGAAAGGCATGAAGATGTTAATTTTATAAAATCTATTAAAAGACTGTAACAGGTCAACAGTGCCATAACTTCAGGTCATACACTACTGAGATATTTCAGGTGACATTTGTGTGACCTTATGACCAAATGCGCTTTTTATCTTTCCTCTTCAAAATATCTTCATGTATACTTCACAGTCAATAAGCAGAAAACAACGAACAATAAACAGAGGTAAGGCCCAATTGCTTAGAAATCCTAAACTGGAATATAAACTGGAGCTGTGCATTACGTGTGTCTGTGTGTGTGTCTGCATGTGTGTGTGTGTCTGTGTGTGTCTGTGTGTCCATGTGGACATGTATGTTACTACAACCATTCGTATATTTGTGTTCATATGATGTGGCATGGCCTCAAACATCTACGTGTGTATGTGTATGTGTGTGTATGTGCATGTGTGTATGTATGTGTATATGTGTTTATGTGCGTGTGTGTGTGTGTATTTAAGCTGTAGGTCTGATAAAAGGAGTTTGAAGATGGGCCTGAGAAGAAAAGGATGCTTGTTTATTGTAAAGAAGCATTCTAGCGAACTGGCTGACATTATGTATTTCTTTTTTAATTCCTAATTAGCTATGTATTAATGATGTATTTGATTCATGAGGCTTCTTTTTAACTGATAGAATGGATTAAGGAAAGGAAGGTTTGGAGAGAAGTATGCCTTAAGATTAATGCTTTTTTTCCGTTACAACTCCTAAAGAAAGTTTTGACTATTTAAGAAAAGGATTGATTGCAATTTCTAGCAAATGTTAAAATTCTTCTATCAACTGTCTTTTTATCTTTTCCATGTTATCATTATTATCAATTTAATATTTGCTTGATTCATTTCAATTTAATTCGTTCTCAAACTATCCTATTTATACTGCTATCTATTTCTGCTATGGCTATCTTCAATTTATCATCATCAAATATAATCCAACTTTTGTCATTTTTTTTGCTCCGCAATTAATCAATGACATAAAAAATGTCATTTTAGATTAGATGAAAATTTAAATGTTGAAATTTTATCATTAATTAACAGAATCAATCACCGAATAATACATTCATTTATAAAATCATGCAATGTATTTTGTTAGCCCAAAAGGATTGCTTTTTAATAAATTTTTATGATTATTCGGAATTATAAAGTTTTCTTTAAAAATTATGCTTTTTAAAATGATGAAAGAAAATGTTTATTTAAAGAAGCGGTTAAATGCATGAGATGAATTAAAATGGATGAATGGGCGGCTAACAATGACGTATGCTGCCAACTCCGGAAAAATGATGTTACTGAGCTGTAGTTCATCATTTTTCATTACTTATTATCATTACTGCTATCATTATCATTAGCAGTTGAAGTCGGAATTATCAAATGAAAATATACTATTAGTAAAATGCATTATTATTATTATTTTACATTTTCAATGAATTCCTTCAAATTGGATGAAAATAACTGAGAGTTAGTTCAATACCGAGGAAAGTAATAATTTCTTCTTTCTTCGTCCAAACTAATGATTGAAAAATTTAATTTTAATTTGTTATTTGATTTTCTTTCCTTCCATTTCGTTCATAGACGCAGCGATTCATCACATCTAAAACGTGAAATTGGTGACGTCACATTCACAAATGACAAACAATAATTTGTAATTAAACTTATAACTTTCGAATTCTTGCTATCTCCTTACTTTTAATGAAGGATGGAAGAATAGATCAGTTGATTGATTTGTAATCCGTTCGATCGATTTCATTGGTAACAGCCATGCATGTAATCCACGTGATGAACATACCGTTTTTGTTTTTTTTTAAAGAAATCTCGAAATGATAATATTCAACGAATCTCCGTTCTAATAATTCTGGTAAGCTAAGCAGCATCAATCAGTAATTTAAATTTTTACGATAAAATTTTTCTTCATTATAAAATTGCTTTAAATGGAAGATTCAGGTACCGGTAATAATTTGCCGGTAGTAATTAATTGTAGTAAAAGAAGTTGTATATACGACATCATTAGTATTCCTTGCTATTCCGTAAAATGCATTGGACAAGGAAGTGACAATAAGATATTTCCTTGTCGGTAACTTTCGAAATCGTAATTTCATCCATCTATTCTCAGATATCAGAAAATGACTAAAAAGTTTTAGCAACATTTGTAAATCTCAGGGGAAAATATCATAACTGAACAGTAACACACGTGAACTGCGTCAGATCGAAATCTCATCTACAGAGTGTAAAATTGCTCGAATAAAAATGACACTGTTTTTTTTAGGATATATGGGTGGCATCGAGAAACGTCAAATTCGACATCAAGTAATTCAACTTTGTCCTCTCAATGCTAAGCCTTTCTAGCTGCATTTGATAACGTCATGCCTACCTGCATCTCTATGCATACGTTGTATGTGTGGTGTACACAGATATACCTTCATGCTTATAAAACTTTAAAGCTCTCCCATACATTATTATAGGTGTGCAAAAAAAACCTGAGAGAGTGTGATGGAAAAGTGAACAGATTAAGACCTTACTGAGAGCCATATTCATTGGATGCAATGAGTAAGGCTGTCAGTAAGGCTCGCTTGTCTCAAAAAGGATGGAAGAAGCAGAAAGGCTCACTTCGAGAGGCAATCTCACCTTCTCCATATCAGTGCAACATTAACAATGTCTCTCTTTCATATGACGTGATGCTGCAGCACTGAATACAACGCAACGCTGAATTACTCTTTTGGAATCAGAATCACGCTTTTTCATTTGATGACAAGTATGAAAATGTAATTAATTGTGTTTGTCTTCCCTTAGAAAGGTATGCAGACTTTTAGGCTTATTTAAAGATGTATGGAATCAATACATCCTTTGACATAAGAAATAGGATGAGTGGTACAATTTGATCTCCAAGGGCATCTTTACTAGGACTTTTCGACACTTTTTTTGCAAAATTCTTTGGAACTCATTTCACACTCTCTATCGAGATCGATGATCAGCGACAACTGTCGGGTCCTTTCGTCATGTGCCCATCTATTTGCAGTAACCTCCTTTCTATATCTTCGAATTTGCTCTTTTGTTGCATTATCTCGCATTTTTTTAAATTTTTGCAACATTAACAAGGGAAAGATCAATTAAGAGAGATGAAAAGAGAGAGAGAGAGAGAGAGAGGGGGAAGAGATAGAGTGATACCAACGATAGATTACAATGGATATGATTAAGATTAACAGATGCTATGAATAGTATTTTAGCTAGCTGTAGTAATGAGTAAGATCATAATGCACCTGAAATATGGTTAAAAGAGTGCAAGGTGTAAGTTCGGGAAGCAACATTTTCGGCACTCATAAAGAGAAGCGCAGATTAGCGGGGCAATTGAAGGAGATACCGGATGTGATAGGGAATGCATCAAAGTACGTTTCTTTATCAGTAGATAGATGAATGATGATCATTCTATGGTAAAGTGATTAATTTTTGCCCTCTCGTTTATTCCCCAAAGTTTTTCCTCTCTTGTACTAATAACTTCATTGCTTCCTTTTATCTTTTCCGCCCTTTTCTCCTCAAAATCGCCTTGGTCACCTCATCGTTAAAGTATCCCGCAACTCTCTCTCTCTCTCTCTCTCTCTCTCTCTCTCTCTCTCTCTCTCTCTCTCTCTCTCTCCCTCTGTCTGTTCAATGCTGACGATAAATGCCATCGGTCGTCGCCTTTATATTCCAATCGGTAGGTTCATTCATACAGATGAGGGGAGGGGGGGAGGGGAAGAGTGGGATGGAAGAGGGAGGGAGTGTACATAACAGCAAGCATCCCTGCCATCTCTCTCTCACAACGCATCCTTTGCGACGCTACCCATATGAGGAGCTTTCGTGTCGCTGTCGTCGTCGTCATTGTCGCAGGCGATGTCCGTTATGTAAGCAATGATCTCTCGATAGTTCAGACCAGTTCCCCCGCTCTTCTCTCTTCATTCCATCTCATGATTACATATGTCTGATGTCACTGATTCTCTCTATCAATATCCCCTCTCTCTCTGTTCCATACAGATAGATAGATAACTGGCCCTAACAAGAACGGCATTGTATGCATGATCTTGGAGATATACCACACTTCTCATAACTGCTCTACCGTTCCTACAATTACAGAGTAAAGGTGAAGGGTTAATTGCACCATAATATCTTATTCTAATTTCACCATTTCATCATCCTCAATTGTTGCATGCATAGATGATATATGTATTGTTTAATGAGTAAATTACTGCTCCATATGTGGTGCTCGCGTATGCAAGTGCATGTGTGTATGTGTGTGTGCATATGTCCGCGCGTGCATTTGGATATGTGCACGTGGGTATACATATATGTGAGTGAGCGTGAGCGTGAGTGTGTGGGTGGGTGAAAAATATGCGTGTTCGCTGCATTTATTCAGTGAACATTATTTACTTGCATGTGATGATAGTTTTTCTAATCTACGCATCTTTTTCTTGCAATATTTCAGATGTGTCGTATCGTCGGCAGTTGCTCAAAAGGATCGGAGATGTTAGAAGTGGGCATGGATGATAATGACGACTCGATCAGTGGTACATTATCATCTGGCTTGCTCATCCTATTATCAGTCTCGATGTTGCGTTACATATTATGGTACCATGTGTCCCCCTTCCTTCCTGAATTCTCGACATATTTTGATCATGAAATTGTGTTGCTTTCTCGCTCTCTTCAAGTTTGCAATATGTTTGAGTGCATGTGCTTCACATCCAATTTGAATTCAGTAGCATTGATAAGTATATATGTAAACATCATTGGAAAAGTACGCCAAGAAAGGTTGAGAAAACACACTAAATGACCTTTTATCGCTGGTGTCAATCATAAATAGCTTCAAATGCATAGAAGAGTTAGCCGATCAAGTTAGCATGAATCAGAGGAGAATCGCATATCTTAGCCATCTAGCGAGTCAGAAAGAGAAATTTGACCCGTAACCCTAATTGTAGAAGAAGGAAAGCCTTTTTTCGGTATTTCGGGAGTTAACGAATTTCCTTCTCAATTTCGTTAGTCCCTCCTTCTTTCTTTCTCTCCCTTATTACCATCCTCTTTAAGTGTACAGTCCGTAGTCCTGCTTCGGTGCTGATCCACATTTCCACAATGCATATGCATGCATGCACTCATCTCTCCCCTTTCCTCTTGGTACTACCATTTCACTGAGCAGCATAATTTGCATATTGCAGCATTGTATGTAAATGATGTGTGATTAGTGGCAGATTGAATGTTTTGCATGAAATGGGTTTGATTTTAATTTAAGTAATATTACAGGTGGCACGAAGTTTGAGGATATTTAATTCGATGTTACATTATCTGCATATGGCGCCATCGTTATGACAGTGAATCAGTGGCGATATATATATTTGCAGGATGGTACAGTTGTTCCATTACTCATTATCGTCATTGATAGTATCATCATTATCAGAATTATTTGCTACTTCTATCACAGCTTTTTCTCATTGTACGCTAAATTCGTCAAATTATTGCTCAGCTGTCAATAACGACATCAACAGCAATTTTACTATTTTCTCGACAACAGCCATCAGTTGCAGTAATTAGTCAGCATAACGTCAATTATGGTCTGAAAGATGGCTGTTATCAATGAACAAGGAGAACCGGGCGCATTTTTTATGTGCACCGAAACATCACCCCGTTGCTATATCATCCAACGGGTTTGACCTTCTCTTATATCTTTGTTGTATTTTCTTCAAACGTGTACTTTTAGTGCGTGTGTGTGTCTTTTTAATTAAGCAGACATATATGGATTTTATGATTGCTTTACAGGATATCCATCTCTTGTATTCCTGGTTCGTATACAAAAATATTGAGGGGGTAACCTGATTTTACCGGTATTGAGAGAATAACCTGATTTGCTTATAAAATCCGGAAGTTATCAGAGAATAAAGCATATTATACAATCGATTTTGTTGTGGAATTATTCTGGAAAAGGGTATCCGTAAAATCATGGTCAAACATATTCCATTGATTTGCATTTATTGGAATTTCTACTGCCTGGAAGATAGAGGATTTTCTTAAATTTTATTCTTATTTTTTCTTTTCTCTATCATAAGTTAGAGAAGGAAGAAATAAAAAGTACATAGGAAATAGGAAAACAAAGGAGGCATTATATGAAAATAGAAGATATAAATGGAGATTTATATCTTCTATTTTCACAAGTTAAAGTAACTAATGAGACGTTCATAATCATTAGCAGAAATATAAATTAATAATTGCATTAGTTCGTAATCTGTAGACATAGACTAGGATGCATTACTATAGTACTAGCATTATGCTAGATTAAGATATGGATATCATCCGAAGTTAATTGGAAAAGAAGATTGTTGAGAGAATAAAATCAGTGACAACCAATCCTCAATATAGTTACTTCATTTTTGAGCTTTGTCAGGTCTTTTTTTTTTAATTTGCTTGTTAATTTGTTTTTCTTTTCTTCTCGCTCTATTTCTTCTGCCTTCCCTTGCAGATATAATAGGCTGAATGATTTTTTCTTCTCTAAGAGTTTTAAAGGTTGTGTAATTGATTTACTTCTTTATTGGATACATTTCTTGAATTTAAAAAGCAGCGTATTGATTTATACTAATTTCAATTTTCAAACTTTCGAATTAGATCATGGTTGGCAGCTGGGGAAAGAGAGCGTATCCTTCATTGTGATCGTTAGAATGAGCAGTATTACATATTGTTGATGTGATACGGGGCATTACAGATGTTTTATTATAATTATGCTCGTTAAGATGTTGACAACAAGTAGTTTGTAATTACTACAATTGCTTGGGAAGTAGAGAGTCATGCTGTGCAATAGTAATAATAATAGCAGTTATTTTGCTACTAAATGTTTTCGTAAATTAAGATTTGGAATATACGTTCCTCGAAACAGGTTTTTATTTAGGAGGATAATTAAATTTCTGTTTAAAAGGTATTAAAAAAGTTTAATCACCCCTATTAAATGTTGTTTTGGATATTTCTTGGATTATTGTGAGAACAGTGGGCAGCTGTCAATGGAAAATTTATTGTGCACTTTAAAAAATCCATTTCAACTAGCGAGTAGAGTAACTCCCCACTGTATTTCATCAGAGAAATCGAAATTGGAAAAATTGAATGGTTCTAATTAGTAAAAAAAGGAATTGCTAGTATAAGAGTTCATCTTTCAAGTTCCATTGACGTTATTGGAATACAAAGTGCTAATGGTCTGTATTCAAACATTTTTAGCAAAATAATTTTACTGAAATAATTTAACAGATTAAGCGACATATAACATGGGATTATGATTTTAGGTGAATTCTAATAATATTGATCGCATGTTGGATGACATGATGGTGCCATCTGGTGAATGCGACACACCTCCTACACCAATGTTACCTTGGTGGTTTACAGCGGAATGCGAGAATCAACTCCTGGCTGCATCGGACCCACCTCTAATGCAGATGCCGATGAATATCTCTGCGACGCTACCTGTACCACCACCGCCACTACCGCCACCTCCACCATCTTTATCAAGGGTAGCTTCACCGACTCAGCAAATAGTTTCAACCGCACCTGTTTCCCAATCTCCTGAACAAATTAAGCAGCAGCTTAAAGCTCAGCTGGAATATTATTTCTCAAGGTAAATCTCTTATTATTATAAAATGAGAGGAACGGTTATCAGTTTACTTCATTAATGCTGTAAAACTATTATTATAAAACACTTCTACTGTTCCGGTCTTCTTTTTAGGGAAAATTTGATGACTGATAGGTTTCTACGGTGTCAGATGGACAACGACCAATATGTACCAATACAAATTATTGCCAACTTCCCAAAAGTTAAACGACTCACTAATGACTACAATTTGGTTGTGAAAGTATTGCGAGGTCTCTTTCTGATTATTCAAATCATTATGTCAGCTTTTTCTCCTTTTTTGGCCTCCTCCATAAAATTGTTAGGAATGAGTAGAAGTAAGTAAAATGAATGGCGTATGCTGGGTTATGACTTTCTGTTGATGCTGAACTGTAGTTCTTGAATGAATTTTTGTAGCGGCTACGGCCAAAAAACAAATAAAAATTGATATTTAAGAAACTAATCTTTTTTTCTTATGCAGTCTTAAGCATACTTTTCCTGATCATTGAGACTCATTGCAATTTAAATATTTGCCAAAATTCTATTGTATTATTTTTTGCAGAATCATCTCAGGTACAGGTTGATGAAGAAGGACAACGGGTACGAGCGGTTTCAAAACGGTGCACTATTATCTTGCGTGAAATACCTGAATCCACAGACGAGAAGGTATTCCTGTTTTTTTTTTTTTTTTTTTAAATATCGAATTCTCTCTTACTGTGCGTTAGATAACTATACCAATTTAGTTGATATTTTTTTTTCTTTCCACAATGCATTAACGACTCATATTCAGTGGTCTTCCATATTTGCTTTCTGGTGTGTGCCGTCTAAATTTTATATTTTCAGTTTGTATTTTTTATAAGCATTACACAAAATTTGTTGTACTATTTTTGCTCTTTTGTTTTATGGAAGATTAGCCTATGTTCAGCCAGGATTTCAACTATATAAATCTCAAGAAGAGTATGCGAAAGGAATTCTGTATGATTTTTCTCAAAAGTTTATAGAGTTCGAAAAAATTTTATTTAGTCTTCCATAAAACAAAAGTGAATAAACTGTGAGAATTCAGGAAGTAGCATCAATGTTTGTTGGTGCGCCATCATATCTCAGCCTGCAATACGGCCTCAATAATAGCTGGTATGTGACGTTCGAGTCGGAAGAAGCTACGGAACGTGCATTCTTGCACTTGCAGAATCTCGGCAAGACTTTCAACAATAAACCGATCTGCGTAAGTATATTACAAACTGTTGTTTGATAAGAGATTTATGTTGTAAAAATTTATGCTAGATTATGCTGGCAATTTCGTATACAACATTCGATTAGTAGAATGTTGTAGTTTTTATTGTAAATAATACTGAGGTGAAATGCTTTAAACATGACATTTTATTGTATAAACTAGAAAATTCCAAAACTTAGAATAATCCATTAGTTATAGAAAAACTCCATCAGGAGAGAAAAAACACTTACTAGTTGATCGCATCGTAATTTTTTGCTTTATCGCTGAGCAATCTTTATTTAGATAAGATTCTTACACACAGTTGCAAAGAGTTATGATTGTGGTATATTTCTTCCAACATCAGTTATATGTTATGTAACGTATAGTAACAATGTATAGTTCATAAGTTAAACGAACTATCATTCATTGGTTGATTCAAACTCCAATTCAGCATTTCCGGAAGTTCATAAGAATTTGCTATCTGATCAAAAACTCTGAACTTTTTTTTAATGAATCATTAGTTTTAGGCACGAATAAAAACAGGTGGCGCCCCATATTCAGAACCATTGAACTTGATTACGGATCGATCTCCATCTGCCGTGCCGTCGGAAATTTCGGGTGACCCCATTGTGTCTGTTCCGGTCGCGCCTACTCCTTCACCATGTTCATCCGGTATTTGTTGATTTTCTTTTCACTTTTCTCGATTTCATTTTCACTACGATAAGAATAAAATTAGTATTTATTATTACAGATAGTTTCGATTTGGGCCAAATTCTGGCCAGTTACGGGTACGTACCATGTGCAACTTTTAAGCCTGGTACAACGGTTGTTTATATCACTTCTGTAACTTCTAATCGAAGTGTCAATCATAATCGATTGCGAGGTGCTGGCACTACTGGACTAAATAATTCTAATTTTCGAGGTTTGTTTTATATCTCATGTCTGTTGACCGTTCACTTATTCTGGTATGCTGGTATGGATAGTTATTTTGAAAATTAAGTCTTTCAATGTGTTCGTGTATGTCAACCGTATTTTTAGGTTCCAGTTCCAGAGTGCGAACTGGTTTCGTGTATAATCAGCGAGTCTGCACCAGCGATCATCGTGATTTTAGTACAAGTAATAATTATCAGCATGGAGGAGGTCGGCGAAACAAAAACCATGGTGACGCTCATCGTGATGGTTATCGGGATAGAAACAACGATTCTCTAACCTTTGTTCGCCCTCGTGGCCGGCAAAATCGTCTTAATAATTTTTATTCTGGTCGGTTTTTCATTGGTATATTTAATCATTTATGTAGAGATTTTATTATAAAACTATCGCGGGAGTAGGACACTAACTGAATCACAAGAGGCTGTTGCAGGCACAGTGCGGAGTAGGACACTAGCTGAATCGCAAAAAAGTAATCAAAACGGTAACATACAACAGCGCTACGATCGTGATCAATCAAGCGGCCGGTAACGCTTTGCATAATAGATCGTAATAATGAAGAATTTTTGGGACTTCAAAAATTATCCAAGTGAATGAGACTCTTAATTGTGCGCAGCATTATTTGGTATCCATATTTATCGCTTTATTTTTAGCTGATTGTTTTTAGCAGCACGCAGACACGACAACAACGGCGTAAGCAGAAGGATATGTCGTTCCCTGGAACTTTGTCTGGGAATAATAAAAGTGTAACATGTCCTCCGGTGATTTGTCTACCGTCAGAAGAAGGCAAAAGAAGTGAGGAGCAACAGTGTTGTTCAAAAGCTATCGATGATGATTCCAAACTGGAAAGGAGCAATTCTCGTAAAACTGCTGATACAGAATACAGCTTCGAAGAGGTTATTTTATTCGTTGTGCTGAAGGAGCGCCGTAAGAATGCCACTGATACCATCGATTAAGCTTCAATTTGTTTGTTCGTAAAATGCATTCAGAGGATAAACAAGTGACAGATAAGTATTTCAGGGTGCGTTTCCTTGTCTTTCTGAAGAAATATCTCCAGTGGTAGAGGTAAAAGAATCAAAATTGAGGAGTAAGCCAACATTTAGTTCAGTAGCCGCTGGTAAAAGAGAAGGGAAGAAGGAAACAAAGGAAAGGAAAAGTTATGCACAGACGCTGAAGCAAAATAATGGGTGGGTTAAATTTTTTATATTTGACATATCGATTAAATGGAAAGTCTCAATTTTATTTAAGTATGATAATTTCTTTTGGACTGGGCCTTAGTGTTATATTCCGTTGTGAGAGTGATGGAAGATTTATATAATACAACTTCTTTCATTTATATTTTTCCTTCTCTAAAGTTTACTTCATGTAAAATATTTTCTCCGAACTTATTTTTAAGGAATGAATGAATTTTCAGATTGCTGCAAGCATCTTGAACTATTCCCGTGCTGGTACACTTTTTGTATTAGCAATGGTCTCATCTTTTTCCAGAGAGAGAAAGACTTATTTTATTCGTCGTTTTTATTGCATTTTTTTGTCCAATCTTTCTGGGAAATCAGTTTTCTAGGGTAGAAATGGCAGTTTGTTGTGTTTCTGGGGTGAACATGACAGCTTTTACGTGTTGCAATATTGCTCACCTCCTTACGACGCACTTCCGCATTCCCGATCCGTCCACAGGAGGAGTTCTTAACGCTTTTAATCAGTAATAATAATTCGAGAAATGCGGCAATCTCTTTTTTGAGGTCCACACGGGGAAACATGCATTATTTACTACTGCAAGTACTTATTAGTATTTTTCTTGAGGATGGCATACATTATTTTGAATCTCTGTAAAAGGTTTAAGTCGCCAATAGTAAGGAGGCGTGTAATAAGTTGTTGAAGCTGATACGTGTCCATATTTGAACTGGGAACATAAATGAGTAACAAAATGAAATCATGCTTCTTCAGCCTTTTCACATTTCTTCAACTATTGTTGTTTTGTATTATATGGATACAAGCGAGTTGTTTACTTTATTGAGATATAAATATTCTCAGGAGGAATATCAACACCACTAATGAGTTATTTAAATCTCTATTACTTATTGGCAGAAGAAATTACCTTGCACTTTTTGTAACATCTTAATAATTTGCAATACCTCTAAAACTTACGGCTACCTTAAGTTATTTCGATTGGAATAAAAATTTTGACTCATATACGCGCATTTGACGAGGAAAAGGAGACGAAGCAAGATTATCATTAATCTGTTTCTGATTTAAGTTACTCTTACTATATGTGTATTTATTATATAATGTATTATTGTTTATGTATACATGAGATTGATAGTTACTTTTAGCGAGGGTGTAATTATTTATGTCGTGTGGTGGTGATTATCTGAATAGCTAGCTATCTCTATCTGTATAAATATTTCATACGCGGTCAAAATTCTCAATGTGATTGATAATTATCATATCTATCAGCTTAGTTTCATTCAGATTTTTGTGTGTGTTGTATAATCATTTTTCTGTGTGTTGTTGTATAATCATGTTTTCGCAATCTCGGGCCATCTTTTGCTTATTTTCTATAATTTTTGCTTCTTGTTTGATCTATATTTTTCTTTTTTTTCTCAATTTTTTTTTATTTGTTCGTGAACAAAATGTTAGTGGCTAAAGGAAAAAAGAAATCTTGATTTTTCTTTCTATTATATGACGATTAGGGAGACATTAAGGTGAGAAAGACGTTCTTGAAGGATTATACGATATATTGCTTCGAGAATGGACTAAATAAAGCTGTGATAAGAAATTGAAATATCTTCGTGAGAAGAGCATTTAAAACTAATCACGAAGGATGAGATGTTTCTGAGAGATCATGGTGGCTGAAGCATATATTACGAAGATGATGTTCAGTTTGATCTTTTCCAACAGCTGTGGTATTTTTGATTAAAAGATGTAGCCTTAATTTAATGATTTAATCTTGATGGAACATGGGAAAATTTTGTACATTGCGATTTGATCTTTATTATTTGTTGCTTTAGTCAACTGTTTTGTAATATTTAATAATTCATCGATGAGGGATAAAGCAGGGTCAAGGTTCATGGATGTGATAC